TTTGTTTTTTATTATCCAAATAGTCTTGGTTATAGATTGTTAAAATTTTGTAGAATTATGAATAGTGGAAAATACTCAAAAAACGATTTTAAAATATAGATAACAGGTGCAAACATTCTCTTTTGAATGCTTAGCAAGATTTAGCAAGGCTGTACATAAATAATATAAAAAAACATGGTGAAAAAAAGAAATGAAGGGATCTCCATATTATGCACTACTTTTAACAAAACGATAATACATTTAAATTTGGAACTGTTACAGGCATTTTAATTATGAGCATTAGCAAACTTCTTACTGAGAGAATTGTTATGCAAATTAGCAATTATCTCGGCTTCTTTTGAGTGCACATCCCAGAACTTTAAAAAAAATAGCTCCTAGACGCTTTGACTTTTTGTTTTGAAATTTTCACAAACGATTGACAATGTGTTTATCTTCAAAACGCCGTCGGGGCATTGTTTTTGGTTGAACAGTGTTACAAAAATCGTACAGACAACTAGCCTGGGTGTTAATTTATGCATAAACTTAAAGTAGTGAAATTTGAGCTGCTGCCCTGCAAAATTGACAACTGGTAGACAGTTTTCAAAACGGCACTTTCTTCATAGTAAACAGATGTACCCATAAACTAATTTTGACAGGCAACAAAAGCATGGTTTAGAAGCTATTTTTTTTTAAATCACTTTTGGCCAAAAAAGCTCATTTTGTGCATATTTCAAACTACAGTGTCCATGGAAAAAAAATACTAACAAAATTTTAAAATTCATACAATAAGCTTTCCGAAAATATATAGTTTTGTAGACAAAGGAGGTCATCTTGGTTTCCTAATTAACTAATTAAAATACCTGTCAGGTAAAAACTGCGTCTCTACCTTAAAACATTTGAAACACTTACCCGGCGTTTTGCTCTCTTAGAAAGCCGACGCGGTGAATATGGGCTTGTCCGGCATCTTGTTCTTTAAAATCTGATTTCTTTAAATGTAATATTGGGGTAAGGCTCGAATTGTTTGATCAAATAGTATCACCAACCTTATTGTATGGTTGTGAAATATTGGGCTATTCCGACCTTACTCAATTAGAAACGTTTTATCTGAAATGTTGAGAGACTACTTAATTTAAACGATAGTAATGCAAATTGTATGATTTATGGTGAGCTTGGGGAGGTTTGACTTGCTATGCTTGTTGAAAACAGAATGCTGCAATTCTGGAGTAGTATTATTCATAGTAAATCACATAAACTATCTCATTTATTGTATAATTTAATGAAATCTTTGTACGATAAAGTTATATACAAATGTCCTTGGATGACTAAAATCAAGGATATACTTGACAAGTCTGGTATGCCGAACCTTTGGCTGAGCGAGACACACATGAATAGAACATGGCTTGAACAAAGCATGAAATTACGGTTATTGGATATTACACGCAAAATAATTGGAATTCTGAAATGCACGAAAATGGCTTGCGTACAAATTAAAGAATTATTAAAAATTCGTTGTTAATTTCAAAATACCTCTTGTGCCTTGACCCAGCTCACCGTATAGTTATGTAGATGTCGTAATCATAGTTACCTATTATGACTGATCGCTATTAAAATGTTGCTACTCATGATCGAATATGCCCATGCAATTATATTAGTGATGAATTTCACTATCTGTTTGAGTGCGTTGCTTTCCATACAATGAGGTCAAAATTATTAAAACCATATTATTGTTTTAGACCAAATACAAGAAAAATGAAACAGTTATTCAATTCATCAAATCAACTTGAATTATTGAACCTCTAAGTTTTGTAATTAGATTATGAAGCAGTTTTAATTGTTGTAATGGTATAAATATACTAGTATTACATTGTCTTGGGGCTAATCACACACGTTATTCAAATTTATTGTGTAATGTACATTATTAAGTTCTCTCATACCTCTTAGGAGGAAGTAAAGGGAAATAAACATTATAAAAAGTGTGCAAGGTATAAGTTTTCAGCACTTGTCTTTAAACCCAAGCTGTTCTTTTATAAACATTGAGTAAGGACAGATATTCTGCGTAAGAATTTGCGGTATGACGGTATAAGGAGAATGCCCATCTCAACGTTTTCTCATTGATTTTGTCTACTGATGTCACACCTGTGGATCGTTTGGAAACTCATGAATTCTCACACTAATACTATATGCATTGCTAAGCTCGCCAAAAATACGTTTCAAAAAAGCGCCGACCGAAATATATAATATATATCGTTGACATTTTCGTTATATGACGCAGTATTATAAAAGCACAGCGCAAGTATATGGCTTCGTTTCGTACTTTGCCGTTTGGTGTCGCCCATTTACTTCGGCTAGAGTCGGAAACAGTCGCGAGTCGACTGTTTCAGGATATGTGGGCGTGGCTACAACACAAGAAATATCTCAAATTAATTCGGACACGAGTAATCATTTTCAACTAAAAATCAATGACTGTATTTCAGCGGATCAAAAATCCAAATTGGGAAATGTGTGGGTGGGCATTTCACAGTCTTACTTAAAACATACAATTTATCTTGCCATTGTTAAGGCTGGCTGTTATGGTAAACTCTACAAACTAATCTATGAACAGTTTATAAATTGGAATTCCGCGTATTAGGGTTTGCCGCATACAGGTGGTTATGTGAGGGGGGGGGGGCATGATTCAATTTTATAAATACCTAAATCACAAGTATTCAACCATGCAGTAGGTCAGATCTAAACCATAGTCACTCTACTAGGAGTTACTGTGTCTAAATTGAGAAATTTCGGTTGTGAGGAAAAACATCTTCATGAAGGGAACCACTGAAGCTATATGCTATATGGAAAATTTGAAAATTGACACAGACAAACAATCAGTAATATGGATAGCCCTTTTTAGGTAGCAAACTTAATAAATAAGACATTGGAATCATTCTAAATTAAATCTTTATTTGTGTTTCTCGTCATTACACAGCAGTCAAAACACTCAGCACAGTAGTCTTGCATCCATTATTCTGCAAAGTTTGTTTCTTCAAGTAACATGTGGTGGGGGATATCCAAAAGCTGGATATGTAACAAAATTTCAAACCAATTTCCAGTTCTACATCTACATTTGTATCGATTACGAGCATTCAATATATTTGGAAACGTATCTTGTTGAAAACTTAAATTGAATGATATTATGTAAATTTTGAAACATGTTAGGATTCATATCAACAATGTACGCATTCACCGCAATGGACCAATGAACTGTCAGTCTCAAAACTCTGCTGACATCAATTTTAACAATGAACCCATAAGGAGAGTGTGAAGAAAATGACATAAAATCTCAAATTCTGCTCAACTGAATTAATTGTCAGAATCAGATAGGCTCTGGATTTGCTTATTGGCTGTCCACTCAAACATCACCATGGATTATAAAAAAACAGATATGAATGTGCAAGATGGCATTAACCAACATTCATTTTCTATATGAACCATAGCGGTGTTCAAGTTGGCAGCTTTTGAACCTATCACTCACTCTTGATGTATCAAGGGCTGTGATGTTATGTTGATGTAATTTACTTTGTATCGGTAAATATATAAAAATGCTTAAAATGTACAGACTTCAGATGTTGAATGGTTACAGTGCAAAGTGAGGATTACATATTAGATTTTATTAACAGTAAGGTTGGTGGTGGCTATAGAAGTGTGAGCTATAGAATCCTAAATACACCCTTCCATGCTAATAAATGCATCTACACATGTACAGAAGCAAAAACTGAGAAAATCTAATCATTTGCCCTCTTAAATGGTTTAATCTATTTACAAAAAAAAAATAACTCCAGTTTAACAATAAACAGTTGCACAGCATCATCCTTTGCAGCAAATTATCGATCGATTTCACCAAACACAACATCCATGGTACCTATTGGAAAAATAAACAAGAATAAAACAAACATGTACAGTACCGTAATAGCATATACCGGTCTGCTATATTTTGATGAACATTGTAAAAATGCCACAATCATTGCACAGTGCAGTGTTCTGTATGATGAATTCAAGAAGTGTTAACTACAGTTTGTTTTACTTATAACTTTAAACACAGGCAGCATGATGAGTATGGTGTTTTAACAAATATATTAATTTGACACATACTACAACATATATAAGAAACAATACAGCTCTGAACACTGATGCCTATAAAATGAAAACACAATACTGACTGGCCATTAGCATTAGGGTGAATACTTATTTTCCAAAGAGAAAGCAAATCAATATGGACTTAGGTGATTTTTGAGTGGTTACAAAAAGTAAAACGCATAATTTATATACAGTTGATACTTTAAAAGTAGATGTGGATTCACATCTGTTGTTAAGGCCAGTCAATAAGCACCATGTACAAGAATACATAAATTATAGCACAACACACCCTGATTCTTCTACTCAGACACTTATTACTTTTATAGTATAGGTGACTGCATATTTCCTTCATGAACAGAAACACCAGAGAACAGAATTTCTTTTTGTGAATGTATGGTTCCAAGATAACCTATGGTTAATGAGTGATTCCTTGAAATGCTCTAAAATAGTTTGAACCTGCTATGGGTTATTTGCATGAAAATGTGTAATTCCACATGACCTAAATTGACAAATCACAGCAAAGAATCAGTGTGAGGTGGGGTTATTAAATTGATTATAGTACAGCCTTTCGATTTTAAAGTATGATTAACTACTTATCACCTTATTAGTTTGGTCTCCTTAACAGTATACAATAAAGAAATGATAACACACTGAATGCAAATAATTAGTATGTGTCAAGAACTTCTTGCACTGACAAGTCCGTATTAAAGGTAGGTTTTTACTGGAACAAAACACCCCATTAGCTGTATTCAAATTAGTGTAATGAGTTTATGCCAATAAATGGGACAGGTATGGGGACTGCCAACAATTATTATTATTATTAACAGTCTTTGAAGGCCATTTAAAAAGTTTTCATGTTGTCAAAATGAACTTCACAAACAGCTAGTTTTAGGGCCAATCCACAAAAAAGGCTGAAAACCCTATATATTGTGACACCATCACCTTGAAATAGTTGTTGGAACAAGTATTTAATATGACAAATACGAACTTACAATATTGAACAGAATTATTTGATGAAAACATTAACTACACACATAGAATTTCTATAGATGCTTGCTTATAAAGAACAATATTCTAAAAATAGTAATATTTTTGAGAGTCTTTAAGTGTCATGTTTTTTGACCAATACTGGATTTTCTATGAGATCTTAATGCGTGACATGTTTGAATCAAACATCTGCCACAAAAATTCTTTTCATAGTTCAATGTCGAAATATCAATCTTTCCAAGGGGAACATGGCCGTACATCAACATTGATCATCAAATTTGCAGTGTTTTGATGCCACTACAATGCTAGGACATTGTTTGTCTTGTTTTTACATTCAATTTTACACATAACACAGCAGCAGAAAATAATCAATTGTATCACAGTTGTTTTTTATGACATGTGTGACACCAAGTGAGCAAACGCAAATTGATTTGGAAAGAATTTGTTCAGTAATTATCATCCGCTATTCTTACTAAGCTTACACTAACATACTTTACATCCAACTATCTGTCAATTTCACCAAAGACTACATCACAGGTACCTACAAATATAGAAATGCTGGGATTAAAGCAGAGATGCAGGATGGGAGCTATGAATTTAGTTCATATACAGTGTTTAATGTTTTCCAACCTGCATCCTCCTATAGCAAGCAGCAAGCAATTCTGTTACATACATTGTATAATTACATGGAAAAAGTAATTCATTCATGCAGCTACGTAATGAAAAAACACAATTTACAGTAGTCAATTCATCAAATATCAACATTTTGTCACATATTGGTCCAATAACGCAGGAATGAAACAATACATTACATCTATTCGTTTGTCAGCAGGACAAACAAAAAAGTAGCCTGTGTTTGTTTTGCAATTACATAGTTCACAATTATGCAAGCAGTACAAGACAAATTATACAAGGACTAAAATACCGAAAAAATCATAGAGGGAAATAATTACTAATAGTGAATTTAAGCATTCAGAGAGTGGATGTAGATGACCTGTAATTTCATATTACAGTTAATATTTGGAAGCAGTGGCATGAGGGAAATTGTTTCAACATGTGTTACATTACATCCTGATATATCCATCAGACACTAAAAGTTGAAACACTGTATGGTTAAATAATTCTTTATAGGAAACAAAATTAAAACAACAATGTTATGACAAACTTACTGCTTCACAAATAATTAGTGATATTGTGTCAAACAACAAATGTTATCATGTGGTTTGTGGTTCCATTTAAAAACAAAATGTATTAATAGTTTATGCATTCACAGCTTCAATTGTTCTATGTAGTCAGAGAAGATAAATGGCATTGTCATGTACGCACAAGTGTTTTTCATGCTGAGAATTCCAATTCCCCTTGACTTACCTATAATAGCCACTACATCAGCTAACATGTGTCCTTTAGCAAGCCTGTCTAACCCAGCAAGATGAGCAAAACCTGGAGCTTTGATCTTACATCGATATGGTCTACTACTCCCATCAGACACTAAGTACACCCCAAATTCACCCTGAAACAGAGACACAAATCAGATACAGTTCATGTGGTTGCATTGAACACCAGAGCAAACATTGTCTTTTTTCACAAATTATTAAAAAAATATTGGAAGCACAACTGTTTATAGCATGTCCAAATAATTTAACAAGACCCCCGTACACATATAGCCACCTGTTCTAGCTCTAGATGAAGCTAGATACAAACTAATTATGCAGTGGGGGAATTTTATGAACAAATAATCATAAAAGAATAACTTTTCATCTAAAAAAATTCAAAACTAATTGTTTATGATGATCATCAAATATTCAAGGGAATATTTGATGATGACCATAAACAATTTGTTTTGAATTTTTTTCCCAAGATTTTGAAAATCGTTCAAAGAAAGGTTATTGACGTTGAGATGCTGAATTGTTGGAGTTCAAAAATCGTGTTACAAAAACATTCAGTTCAGAAATTACCAAGACTACTTTTGCGAAACCACGGTCAAATTGTAATTCGGTGTTCAATTAACAGTTAACAGGACTTTGAGCTACAGGCTACATTATTTCAGTTTTTGTTGAACGTCTGTCCACATTTAGTAACTCAAGCTTTAATTAACAGTTAACCAAACTGAGTTATGAGCAACATCGATTTTTTGTTTTGAACATTGAGCGTAGTTGGGTGTAGTTTTGCAAAAGTGTCCATGATTTCTGAAATGTTGTCATTTTTGCAGTTTTGCCTTAAGTCGCTCTTTGGGATTTGTTGATTCTCATGCAGGATTCACACTTAAGTTGGTGGCTTCAGACCTATCAATTTCCTGGTGCAATGTTGTGCATCTGTATAGGTTATCTTCGCTGCCAACCATTCCGCATATATTCATTGAATGATTTGTAAATGTTAACGTCAAGAGGCTGAATTTTGAATGTACATCCACCTGAAATATTGGCTCTAAGTGATGTTTTGATTTTGAATGAATCAAACACCAGAAGTGACTTCAGTGACTTTGTATAGGGAAAGCTGTCTCATCACAGCCACATTTTTTATCATGTCTGTATCATGCCGTCCCTCGATGTTCAGCTTGTGCACTCCTTTAAATATAACCATGGGTGAGAGGACTTTGCCAGTTCTTGTCGCAGTCAAAATCACTGTGAGATGTTGTTTCTCAGCTCAGTTGATCTGACGGAAACAGTTTTCCTCCCTACTGATTCCAATGTAGTTTATGGCAGGAAGTGTAAATATATTGGTGTCTCATCCATGTTACCAATCGACAGCAAAGGGAAGCTATACATGTACTTCTCACGCCGGGTGACTATCAAGTCATGGAACGCTGTTATTTTTTTTTTCAAAATTTGTCTGCAGACATTGTCCGATAGAAGTGCCTGTTTGATGAATCAGTGAATGCTGCGCACAGAATTTGTGATCCCATCATTTTGATATTTTCAACTCTGGACAATGAGGCCAGATAATACTTTTTGCCTGTTGACTTAATAACTGTGTTGTGACTGGTACATGGTTGTCATGCAGCAGCAAAATAAACTTGACAAGTTCATCAAATAATTTCTGACAGATTTCTTCCAGCACCAGCGTTTCTGCCATATTTTGTCACATGCTGAACAATAAGAGCACTGTTCTTATAGTCTTTCACTAATCGATAGATGTTTTTTTGGGGGTTCTCAATGCTGCTCTTTGTACATGTTCCATGGCATGTCCCACAACCAGTCGCTTCCATCTCTATAAATATCAGAGCAAGGTATGCGCTCACCGACTAAGAAGTCGCAGTCATGGTTAACAACATTTACATTAACTGGTGGTTGATTTACTGTCTTGCTCTGTTGTGTGGTAGTTCACCAATCTCCCGATTAATAACTGGAAATGTTTTCTTCTTTGGTGGCACAGTTTCAGGATTACTATTAGCTGGTCGTTTAGCAAAATAATTACTAATGCAGTCTATAAAAACATAGATGAGTGACAAAACCACAAAAAATCTCCTTATTTTTTGCAATAAAAACAAAAGTGTCAGACCTGTGGCACAATAACCAGTAAACTACTCCGAAATGAATATGATAAAACATTGATGATCAGCATCAATAAATTCATTTATTGAAATAGAAAGTACAGCTCAAAGCCTGGACAAGTATCAAACTTTAGAAAAACTACACTGTGTAACATATTTTTGGACCAGCATAAAATCTATAAAATGACCTATAGCCATGATTGCAATCTAGTTTATCTAATTTGTTGCGCCAAAGGTACATGAATTTTGATTGGATGTTCATTTGACTTCTGTCAATGTGGCATCACATACAACCAAAACAATGTTTTCCCAACATCGGGCAGGGTTTATGCTTTGTACCGATTTGAATTCAAGAAGAAATTAGACAGAGGGTTTTCAACCCGCCTATTCACATACATGTAGTCAGTCCAGTCAGTCAAAATGACTATTTTGAACTGTAAGCATTAATCTGCGATTTAGCCAATGATGGAGAGAGTATTCTAGGTCAGGGGAAGCCCCATGACATCACAGATTTTTTTCCACATCACGTGACCGAGGCAAAGAAGCCTGCACCATCTTGCCTTATGATCACTTCTGGTTTTCTCCATATACGAGGACTAAGCCAATCGCTATGGAAAAGTGGGGGTGGTCAGGAGCAACCTGGAGTATATTGTGGGTATGAACTATGTTAATAGTCGGGTTGAAAACCCTCTGCCTAAATTCACTACGTTCAATTATCCACCATAGATTCCGGTGAGTCAAAATGACTATTTTGAACTGTAAGCAGAGTCAGACGCCGGGAGGTGGGTTACCGAGCAAAAACAAACAACAAGCCATGCATGGCACAGTCCCCGTTAGTTAACAAATTTAAGATATATAGTTTTGTTTATAGTAATATAGCTGGAATATAACCATGTCAGGAATATGATTATAATGATTGTTTAACATTATTATGATTGTCAAACAAGTACTTGTCCATATTGAGAGATATTGCTCTGGAGCAGCATTAATTAAAACAAAATCAGCCATTTTGAATACCTGTATATATCTATAACATGATGTATAATGAATATTAAAAATTTGAACATAATCAGTCAAAGCAAGTCAGAGATATGGCTCTAGAAGCCCATTCAATAAAAAAAAATGCTAGTCCTTGTCATAATTCTGAACAGGGGCTGATAAAGGGTGTCTCAGCCCAGGACAATATTCCCTACTTACGACTACTACCCCATAACAAACATGCCCGATGACACTAGACCCAAACCCCGATTTTTGGGTGACTAGAAATTACAAAGAAATAGAGGCCAAAACAGTTTTGCATGAGAGCATAAGCCTAAAGCGAGACCTGGACATGTCCTAGAACCGACGATGGGAGAAACTTCTGTACACAAATCTGTAGTAGAGCCTACACTATCAACTATGTGCAGGGATCCCTGTCGTCCGCACCAGGTCAGTAACCAAAATCTGACCCGCTACGACAGCACCCACCCTAAAGGACCCTCCCTCAATGGTTTGGGTGTCTCTTAAGTAATAACTGGTAAAGACGTTTGCCTTCTCCAGAAGCCTGCCCTCAGTACGTGCTTGTGGAGGGCACTTGATGCAAGAGCCAACGAGTTAGTGATCGCACTGACCTCATGTACTCATACTTGGAGTCTCTGTAGACCCTCAGACACTGTTGTAGTGATCCACCTGGAAATAAAGGTTGGGGAGGCTTGTCTGTCCTTCTTACCCTGGCCATAACAAATAAACATGTGCTTGCTGCCATGCCTCGCTCCATAGTACGGTTCTCATAGTAACTCATCGCTCGAACCGGACAAAATGACGCTCCTATCCAATGTTAGCCAGATGAGGAAGGACGATCACCTATGGATCGTGTCCTGGGATTGGTTCATGGCGGGAAACCTGATTTGTGCAAGGTGGTCTGCTTAAAACAGATAACACAACCACAAGTAACAAAAAGACGGTTCCGTTTTTCAGGGTCTAGGACAATCGGCTAGTTTTGTTCCCAAAGAATTCTCGATGGTGGGTGACAAGGCTGATCTATAGCCAACAATCGCCAACTTGTCAGACAAATGGACGAAAAAATCAGCTACCTGGCCAACAGAGGGATGGCATACAGTACTCATTCCGCCCAACCTCTCGCTTTTATCGCTTTTTTTTAACCGCTTATCGCTTAATTTCCGATCGCTCGCTGCTTTCCGACCGGAAACCAACCGCTTTTTTTCTGCTCGTTCGCTCGCTTTTGTTTGCTGGCTCTTGTTCGCTCACTCGCATTTGTTCGCTTGCTCTTGCTATGGCTGGCTTCAGAAACATCGTCCGCTTGCCAAATAACCGCTGGAGTAACGATGATCACACATTGTATCTATAAACTTATGTTTTTATTCGTAATAAATTTAGGTTTTAATGACGATTCAAAATACAACGCGTATTGCTTCTCTGTATTGGGAAGGGTAACAAAAACGCCTTCAAATCACTTGACACATTGTAACGTTCTTGTGTGCGTAGTTCAAGCAGCTATATAACTGGTCAATAACGGCGCTCAAAATAATTTGACACTTTGTTATTTGCAAACGCAACTCACACTATGACCCTTCAGCCTAGGAAGTTGCGAATACCTACTCGCAGATGCGCCTAAAAAATATGTCTATGCGAGTAAAAACTTTTAAATATCCGCATTTAGCTTGCAGTTTTCAGAAACTACTCGCATTTTGCGAGTGAAAATTGAAGCAGTTGAAACATGCCGTGCACGCGTCAGACTAGACGAGATACCGTGCACGATCTTTGAATAATTTACCATGTACTCGGAAAGTCGGCCGGTTCAGCAGAACGAAATCCCAACAACAAACACTGGGACATCAGATCCTACATCTTCGCATCCAGCTACAAAACGGAAGATGGCATGGGATTCAACTTTGGGCACGAGTACGCGATCAAAATCTCGGAAGCCAAAACAAGATTGAAAAATTGTGCGATGGATCGAGCAATACGAGTGGTTAGACGTTATCACAAGTGAAGGCCGCATGGAGTTGACATAAACCCAA